ATCAACACATCACCATGGTAGGACAAACCGACAGACAAGTTTGCCTCCCTGTTGGAAACCTCTCATACCACCTTTACCTGGGTCCCTGCAGCTGACTCCTCCTGTGTCCAGATTTCTAGGCCTTTTAATCCCCTTTCTCCCACTCTCCCGCCCTGCTGCTTTGGGCGTGCCTAAGTTCCTCTCCTTACCTGGATCCCTGCAGCTGACTGCTCCTCTGTCCAGGTTCCTGGCTTTTTTATCCCCTTTCTCCTGCTCTCCCACCCTACTGCTTTGGGCGTTCCTGAGTTCCCTCTTCTCACCTGGATCCCTGTGGCTGACTGATCCTCTGTCCAAGTTCCTGGCTTTTAATCCCGTTTTTCCTGCTCTCCCTCACTGCTGCTTTGGGCATGCCTGATTTCCCTCTCCGCACCTGGATCCCTGCGGCTGAATGAAAGATATTGATATTGATATTGATATTGACATTGATATTGATATTGATAAAGATATTGCTAAATGAAGATACTGATTGTAATTTCCAGGGCTACCACTAAGAAAACACCTCAAAAATATATTTTAAAAAGACACAACATAGGAATTAAGAGTACACCAGAAAATACCTATTTAACACATATGAAGGCGGTAATGGAGAACTGAGGAAACAAAAAGACATAAGACATATAAGAAAAAAAAAAAAAAGAGCAAAATGCAGAATTAAATTTTTATCAGTAAATGTCATGGGAATAAGCACAGCAACTCAAGGGCAGACACTGAGAGAATGGATAAAGAACATTTAATTCTGGGTTTAATATAATATCAGTCTAAAAAGAGTACAAACTACATATAGTAAAATCCCAAGTACAGGTTTTTAAAAAAGATTGCTAGGGGGAAAAGACTATAAAAAAGAATTACATAGGAAGAAGAGAGAAGGAGTTCTGTTGTTAGTGCTGTGAATTGCTATGTCAACCCCCTACTCATGGCAACCCCATACAAAATAGAACCTACCACCCCCATGATCAGTTGCAAATTGGACCACTGTGATCATAGAGTTTTCATTGGTTGCTTTTTGAAAATTGATCACTAGACCATTCTTCCGAGTACATCTTATTCCACAAGCCTCACTGAATCTGTTCAGTATCATAGCAACTCTCCAGCCTCCACTGACAGATAGGTGGTGGCTGTATATGAGGTTCATTGGCCAGGAATCAAACCTGGGTCTCTTGAATGGCAGGTGAGAATTCTACCCCTGAACTACCAGTGCTTCTCAGAAGGAAAAAGAATAAAATGCTAATACTGATTATTTCTGAATTGTGAATTTACGGTGATTTTATAGATCTTTATACTTCCCTATATTTTCTAGTCTATTACAATGATGAGTATTATTTTGATATATTTGAAAAAATATTACTTATAAAAATGTTACTTTTTTAACACTGGTATCACAGACTTTATTATGTATACCTAAAAGCCCAAATCAATCACCTCATATGTAAGCAAAAGCAGGATAATGAATACAGAAGACCAAAGAAGAACTGGTGTATTTGAATTATGGTGTTGGCAAAAGAATATTAAATACAGCACGGATTGCCAGAAGAATGAACAAATCTTGGAAGAAACACAGCCAGAACGTTCTTTAGAAATGATGATGGTGAGACTTCGTCGCATGTACTTTCAACGTGTCATCAGGAGGGACCAGTCCCTGGAGAAGGACATCATGCTTGGTCAAGCAGAAGGTTAGCATAATAGAGGAAGACTCACAATGAGATGGACTGACACGGTGGCTGCAACAATGGGATCGAGCAGCAGTGGTAGTGAGGATGGCGCAGGACCAAGCAGTGTTTCGCTTTGTTGTACACGGGGTTGCTACGATTTTGAACCGACTTGATAGTGCCTCACAACAACAGTAGCCTGAATTAAATCTATTTCCAGAAATAAATGCATTCACTAATTCTGTACTGTTTTCCAAAAGGAATTTGCCTTCTTAGGTACTCTCTGAAGTAAGAAATGAGAATTTTAAAAAGTATGTATATACAGGGGTTGACGTCAAAATATTTAATGTCTCGTAGTCAAGGAGCTCTGGTGGTGTAGTGCTTAAGACATTTGACTGCTAAGCAGAAGATTGGAGATTCAAACCCACCAGCCACTCCACAGAAGGAAGAGTGGGTAGTCTACTCCCATAAAGATTTACTGCCTCGAAAACCCAAAGCAGGTCACTACAAGTTGGAATCAACTCGATGGCAGTGAATTTGGCTTTTTTTGGTTTACTAGTAATTCATGGCTCAGTGAAACATAACATGGGCCACAGTACTATAACACAGTCCTGGAGGCCCTCTATTGACCCAGTAGTTCTCCTTTAGTTGGTAGGTCATGGAAAGGTCCAGAGGATAGGGTAGGAGGAAGCAAAAGGACAGTCAGGGGCTCATAGTAGTATTTCACCATTTTAATGACCCATACCACTGTACTGGTACATACCAGGCAAAGACCAGCATTGGAGATACCCAAGAGTTGTCAATCAGTAAACTAACCATTCACAAATTATCACCCCGATGCTATGACTACATTTACAGCTCACCCTAGAGAAAAGTCTCACACATCAAGTCCCACAAGCCTCAGCTGTTACCTCTTCATGGGCAATCCTATAGTGACAGCCCAGGGCCAGCTCTAGTCCCCCTCCTAAAGCCACGCCCTGGATAGCCGCAACCACAGGTTTCTCACTTCTTTGTATATCATCTACTAAGGATCCCAATGAGAAGACAGAGGACCTGGGAGCACTGAACTTGTGGATATCAGCACCTAAGGACACAAAGACAAGGAAAAAAGAAGGTTCAGAAAGACTTGGGCTTTGTTACACAACAATAAGGTACCAGGTGACTCTTTGTTGTTGTTGCTGTGCAATACAGATAATACATTTGACAATTCAACATTTTTCACATGTACAAGTCAAGGACACTAATTACATGAATTATGTTGTACAATCATCACTAACATCAGTTGCCAAATTTTCCATCATTGTTAACACAGACTCACTGTTTCCTAAACAATGATAATGCTTAAGGGAGCTTCAGGCCTCTCTGAGCTCATGAAACGTTTCCTTCTTTGGATGGAGACAGTAAAGGAAACAGTAGCCTGGAAATGTACAAATATATGAGAGAAAGTCCTCAAATCTTTATCAGAAATCCTGTACTCTTAGAATGGCAGTCTTTCCAAATGATAGGTTGTCACTCTCTCTATAGAAAAATGTAGAAGTTCAGAGAAGGGGAACAGGGATTCTCCTCCAAAGATCATTATTCTAAGATTGAATCAGCCCCTATCAGTTTTTGCACTGAACACCAATGGCTGAAAACCAGAGAAATTGTGGGATGACATCAAGAACATCATCCATGAAGAAAGCAAGAGGTCATTAAACAGACAAGAAAGGAAGAAAAGACAAAAATGGATGTCAGAGAGACTCTGAAACTTGCCCTTGAACAGAGAGTAGCTAAAGCCAATGGAAGAAATGACCAGATAAAAGAGCTAAACAGAAGATTTCAAAGAGCAGCTCAAGAAGACAAAGTCAATTATTAAAATGAAATGTACAAAGGAATGGAGTTAGAAAGCCAAAAGGGAAGAACACATTCAGCATTTCTCAAGTGAAAGAACTGAAGAAAAATTTAAGCCTTGAGTTGCAATACTGATAGATTCTATGGGCAATATATTGAATGATGCAGGAACAAAAGAAGATGGAAAGGATACACAGAGTCACTGTATCAAAAAGAACTGGTCGATGTTCATTCATTTCAGGAGGTAGCATATTATCAAGAACCAATGGTATTGAAAGAAAAAGTCAAAGCTGCACTGAAGGAAGTGGCAAAAAGGCTCCAGGAATTGACGGGATACCCGTTGAGATGTTTCAACAAACAGATGCTGCACTGGAGGCACTCACTTGGCTATGCCAAGAAATTCGGAAGACTACCTGGCCAACTGACTGGAAGAAATCCATTATTTGTACCCATTCTAAAGAAAGGTGATTCCACAGAACGTGGAAATTATTGAACAATAGCATTAATATTGCACACAAGTAAAATCTTACTGAAGATAATTCAAAAACAGTTACAGCGATATATTGACAGAGAACGTCCAGAAATGCAAGCGGGATTCAGAAGAGGACATGGAACGAGGGATATCATATGGATCTTGGCTCAAAGCAAAGAATACAAGAAAGATGTTTACTTGTGTTCTATTGACTATGCAAAAGCATTTAATTGTGTGGATCATAACAAATTATGGGTAACATTGAGAAGAATGGGAATTCCAGAACACTTAATTGTGCTCACGAGGAACTTGTACGTAGACCAAGAGGCTGTCATTTGAACAGAACAAGGGAAAACTGCATGGTTTAAAATCAAGAAGGGAGTGCGTCAGGGTTGTGTCCTTTCATCATACTTACTCAACTGTATGCTGAACAAATAATCAGAGAAGCTGGACTATTTGAAAAAGAATGTGGCATCAGGATTGGAGGAAGACTCATTAGTAACCTGCATTATGCAGACAACACAACTTTGCTGAAAGTGAGCAAGACTTGAAATGCTTACTGATGAAGATTGAAGACTACTACAGTCTGCAGTATGGATTACACCTCAATATAAAGAAAACAAAAATCTTCACAATGGAACCAAAAAGCAGCATCACGATAAATGGAGAAAAGATTGAAGTTGTCAAAGACTTCATATTACTTGGTTCTACATTCAATACCAATGGAAGCAGCAGTCAGGATAACAGATGTTGTATAGCATTGGGCAAACCTGCCGCAAAGGACCTCTTTCAAATGCCGAAGAGCAAGGATGTTTCTTTGAAGACTAAGGTGCGTGTGGTGGTTATGTATGCGTGTCAACTTAGCTAAGCCTAGTTGAGTGGCCGGGCAGCTAGATGTAGTATTCCCCATGATGAGACGTAATCAACTCCATGGTGGAATCTACTGTGAGCAGCTGAGTAGCTGCTTTGGGTATGTGGTCTGCCTCCATATATAAGAAACAGCTTTGGGAATGGTCTCTAGCTTATGGCACACATGAATCCTGCATGTAGCCATGTCATTGTTCAGCAGCCTGCCATGCTCTGCCAACCTTGGAACTTTCAATGGACTTGAATTAACGGCCTGCTGTGTGGTTTGGTAACATTGGGACTGTGCCTTTTTACTTGTCAACCTTGGGCTTGTCCGTTTCACCAGCCAGATGCTGTCTGAGTGAAGAAAAGCCTCTAGCTCCAGTGGGCTGGGAGCAGGAGGCAAAGCTGAAGCCCAAGGTTGAGGGGCTTTCACCCAGCCCTTAGAGTGTGGCACTTTGAACTGGGACTTAAAGGCTCCAAATTGTAAGAATAAACTCCTGTTTGCTAAGGCCATCCCATTTGTGCTATTTTCTGTTAGAGCAGCACTAGGTAACCAGAACAGTGCACTTGACACAAGCTGTGGTACTTTCCATCACCTCATATGCATGTGAGAGCTGGACAATAAAAAAGGAAGACCAAAGAATAGTCAATGCTTTTGAACTGTGGTGTTGGTGAAGAATGCTGAAAGTACCATGGACTCCTAAAAGAATTAACGAGTCTGTCTTGGAAAAGGTGTAGCCAGAATGCTCCTTGGAAGCAAGAATGGCCATACTTTTTCTCACCTACTTTGGTTATGTTCTAAGAAGTGACTGCTCCCTGGAGATGCATATCATGCTTGGCAAAGTGGAGGGACAACAAAAAATGGGAAGGCCCTCAATGAGATGGATTGACACAGTGGCTGAAATGATGGGCTCAAGTATAGCAAAGATTATGGGGCTGGCACAGGACTGGGCAGTGTTTCGTTCTCCTGTACATGAGGTCACTGTGAGTCGGAGACAACTTGATGGGACCTAACAACAACAACAACTACTCTATTTAGGAATACTTTATTGCTTTTTTTTTTTTTCTTTCCATTTCCTTCTATTACTTAGTTCATTATGTCTCAGTCTTTCTTCCTTTCTAATACATAATATGGGCGCTCTGGTAGCATAGTGCCTAAGGCATTTGACTGCTAACCAGAAGGCTGGTGGTTCAAACCCATTAGCCACTCCTCGGAAGGAAGATTGGGCGATCTACTTCCGTAGTGATACTGCCTCAGAAACCCAAGGAGGAGGGGTCACTATGAGTAGGATCAGACTCAACGGCAGTGAGTTTGGTTTTGGTTATAATATATAGTATTTTCTAAACATATATATTCTCTCATGGTGCAGTGGTTAAGGCATTTGACTGCTAACCAAAAGGTCAGTGGTTCAAACCCTCCAGGTACTCCATGGAAGAAAGATGAGGCAGTCTGCTTTTATAAAGATTTACAGCGTTAGAAACCTAATCGGGGTCCCTATGTGTTGGAATCAACTCGATGGCAGTGAGTGTGGTTTCTCTGAATATATACTTTTAAGGCTATAAATTTCCTGTTAAGTTTTGCTTTCTGGGTACCTCAAGTTTTTTTATGATGTATTTTTATTATCATTCAGTTCAAATTATTTTTTAAATTCCATTATGATTTTTGCTTTGATTCAGATGTTATTAATAAATGAATTTAATTTCAAAACACATGAGAATGTCTAATTATATATTTTTTTATCTACTTCCATAGAGATAGCACCTTGGAAACCCAAGGAGGGGTTACTACAAGTCACAATCGACTCAACGGCAGTGAGTTTGGTTTTTCTTTTCTTGGTTAATGTGGAGGGTCAGCGAAGAAGGGGAAGGCCCTCAATGAGATGGATTGACACAGTGGCTGCAACGATGGGCTCAGGTATAGCAACTATTGTGACGTTGGCACAGGCCTGGCAGTGTTTTGTTCTGTTGTACATAGCATCGCTATGAGGTGGAGCCAATTCGATGGCACCTAACAATACTGTCACATGGGGTCGCTATGAGTTGGAACTGACTCTACAGTACCTAACAGTAACAAAACAACACTAAGATATCACCCACAGGAACAGCTAATGCAGTATCAATCATCTTAGTCTGTGGCTGGATTCTAGGGAAAGCAGTAGAGGATTAGACACTGGTTACCTGCACAAAATTGGCCATTTGCTCCACAAATCACAATGGCTTTTACCATGGGGTCCTCTATAGCTTTCTGCAGTCCCTCTTTTAGTCCATGGGCTACAGCCTCACTAAAAGAAAGAAAAATAATAACATGAAGCAGATTAATCAGAATTAAACATCTACCATTTCTTACAGTTTTTCCCTTTTTTTAACAATGAAAAATTAAACATGCACATACACTGAATGAAAACTTTCAATATTGATCAGTAAAGCTTTCATCAATTTGTTAAGCAAACAATACGCATCTACTATGAGTTAAGCACTAAGCTGTAAAATGAATCTACTTTAAAAAAAAATCTTATTTTTCACTCTGCTTTAACCTCACTCACTCAGGATAGGCATTAATCAATTTAAAAATATTATTACACACTTACTATGTACAGTGCAAGAAGTTTATACATCTGAGGGAGAACAAAATGTGTACAATTTATCATGTAAGCCATAGTAAGATGAATGCTGTAATAAAGATATAAAGGAAATTTGTCCTATTTGCAAAATATAAGAAAATTGAAAAAGAAACAGTCTAGGAGGTGTGGTAAGGACTGCTAAAAAATGCACTGCCATTGAGTCAGATCCAACTCATAGTGACCCCTCCTTGGGTTTCCAAGGTGTTATCACTACGAAAGTAGATTGCCCAATCTTCCTTCCGAGGAGTGACTGGTGGGTACTCCAAATATCCATGCCCCACTTCTTCAAAGTAAGAAAATACCTGGGTCTTAGCTGGACACATAGGTTCCCAAAACAAGACTACATTTCCCAGGCTGCTTTTTGCAGGGTCTATCCAAGACACTAAGACCTGGCCAAGGAGATGTAAGCAGACCTGTCATATGACTTTGAAAGGAGTCCTTAAAGGATTAGTATGTGTTTCTCTTTTCCTTTCATTCTGACTCCTGGCAGGAATACAGATGTGATGGCTAGTTTGGGAGCAACCATCTTGGGCCAAGAGGTAGAAGCATTAAGGATGGCAGAACAAAAGACAAATGAGCCACAGTTCATTATAGGATATTTCTGTGAGAGAGATCCATTTTTTCTTGTTTAATTCACTGTTATTTTGAGTTTTCTGTCACTGACAGCCCAATCATTTCTACCTAAGTTAGGACCTAATGGCCAAGTCTGGGAAAGAGTATACAGTAGATTTTGCCAATCTGTCAGTAGATGAGGGAGTCATCCATGGAAGAGACAGCTAAACCCCCCACTGAATGATGTAACAAAAGAAAAGAAAGCTGAGGGCAGAACTTCTGGCTATGCAATTATTTAAGAAATGAGAGAGACTCAGCAGAGGGATTCAGCACAAAATCACAAAGACCAAAGGAAGAGGATTTGCCATGAAGCAGGCAGGGGTCAATAAGTAGCAAGAGTTGGTGAGAGATGAAAATCTAGAAAAAGTGGTGAGTAACTGCTTAAAAGAAAAATAATAGAACTAGATTTCATTCTGTTTTGATTTAAAATTCTGAATATTCTGGGTAAAAATCTCTTCCTGGTAGAACCACTGAGACTATGGCCCCTAGCTGCCCTTCGAGTCTGGAAGTGAACCCACACCTGTGGCTTCCAGCCAAACAAAAGACAGGCAAATGAGCTGAACATTCACCCAAGGCAGATACACCCTGGAGATAACAATCATGGGAGAAAGAAGAGCTGATACACAAGGAGACAGCTCAGGGGGCAGGAGGGCATGGAGGGATGGACACAGGCAAGAGGTAACTATCAGGAGGAAGTGGGAGGGGAGCTGTTATATTGGAGTAAATTGTAGTCAAAGTCATAAGACAAAGTATATGTGAACTATTGTATGGAAAGTGAATTTGCTCTGTAAACTTTCACCCGAATCACAATTTAAAAAAAAAACAAAACTGCTCTTTAGTGTTCAAATCCATTGCCATCAAGTCAATTCTAACTCATAGTATAGGGCAGAGAGGAACTGCCCCATAGGGTTTCCAAGGCTGTAATCTTTACAGATTATAGAAGCAGACTGCCATATCTTTCTCCCTCAGAGGCTGGGGGTTTCAAACCATTGACCCTCAACAGTCAAGCCCTTAACCATTGTACCAACAATGCTCCTTTTCTTTAGTACAAAAGACTTGGGGCGGGGGGTGGGGGGGAGGACGATGTATGGAAACAAAACAAACAAGCAACAACAAACTTCTAAAAAAGACATATAGTTCAGACCATCAGTTATGGGCTAAAACCAGGCTGCAGACCGGTTCAGACTGGTTTAGTCATGGCTGACAAAGCAAAATCACAACAGACTCAAATTTCTGAAAATTTGGGTGTAGCAGAAAAACAACCAGAACAGGAGAAATTATAGGTTGAAGCCCTGGAATGGGAGACTCAGAAGAGAGTTAGTGACCCCTTTCATGAGCCTGATGCAGGACACTGGATTATTGCCAGGACTGTGGAGAATGACACACATTCAGTTGCATCTTTGAGTGGGGCACTGACTGGGGCACCATTGCTTCTGACTGTGTTTGTAAAGAGATTTGATTGCTATACAAAACGCACTCTGACCTTGCTTTCTAAGAGAGAGATTAAGTTTCTAACAGAGCATTGATTCATAATTTTCCCCTTCCAGTTATTGTGCCAGTTTACTCACATTTTACAAATTCAGGTCCATTCCAGTTTCCTAACCATGACTGAAAAATCGGTTTGAAGCCCTGGTTAAAATCTCAGAGAATAAAGGAGATACCTACCCTTGCATGGGAGCTCTGGTAGCGTAGTGTCTAAGGCACTTGACTGCTAACCAGAAGGCTGGCGGTTCAAATCCCCCAGCCACTCCTCAGAAGGATGGTTGGGCAATCTACTTCTGTAGTGATACTGCCTCGGAAATCCGAGGAGGAGTCGCTATGAGTTGGGTCTGACTCGACAGCACATAATAACAACAACAACCCTTGCACATGATAATTCCCTTTGACCTAATTACCTTCTACTATTTAACTTACATGAACCCAAACAAGACCTTTTACCTTCAACTGGTTAATCAGCTGCTATTTGAAAAACAGACTCTGAATCATTACATATTACTGACAAGTCCAAAAGGCAAATAGTTCCTTCTAGGTAAATAAATGGTGTTGCAAAACTAGTTCAACTGGTGCCACTTTGAAGAAAAGATTGGCTTTTTCCATTTTAACCAACCTCTACTCTTTTTTTTTTTTCTCCTACCTTGGGATAGTTATATTCTTTTTTTCTTCTCTCGTGATTTGGGGGAAAGTTTACAGAGCAAATTCACTTTCCATACAGCAGTTCACATACACTTTGTTTTATGGCATTGACTACAATTTACCACAATGCAAACAGCTCCCCTCCCACTTGTCCCCATAGTTTCCTCTTCCCTGTTCCCTCCCATGCACTTCTGCCCCCCACCCCTAGCTGTCTCCCTGTGCATACACAGCCTTTCTATTCTCCCATGATTGTTCTCTCCAAGGAGTATATCCACCTAGTGTAAATGTTCACCTCATACGCCTGTCTTTTGTTTGGCTGGAAACCACAGGAGTGGGTTCAATTCCAGAGCTGAAGGGCAGCTAGAGGCCATAGTCTCAGTGGTTCCATCAGGCTCTATCAGACCAGCAAACTTGGTCCTTTTTTTTTTTTTTAATGATTTTGAGTTTTGTTCCACATTATTCTCCCACTCTATCCAGGATCTCCTATAGAGATCCCTCTCCGAGTGATTGACAGAGGTAGCCAGGCACCATCTAGTTCTGGTCTCATAGTCATATAGGCTGAGGATCGCATGGTGTACCAGTCACTTTGACTAATTGTTTCCATGAATCTTTAGTTTTCCTCATCCTTCTTTGCTCTGGACGAGGAGTGACCCATTGCATCTAGATGGACACTGCAAGCTTTTAAGATCCCAGTTGCTATTCGCCAAAGTAGGATGTGGAACAATGTTTTGTGTAGTATGTTATGCCAATTGAGCTTGATGTCCCCTGCAACCATGGTTCCAAGTCCACAGGTCCAATTACTCACTCCCTCTGGGTAGATGGCTGTGGCCAAGAAGTGACTACAACCTTGTCTCTTGTCAGCTCTACTATATACCTGGGAATTCTTACAGAACATACCAATACACTTGTAGTAACACAGTCTGCCAACCCAATACATGGTCTTGGGCACACTACTCCCCCCCCACCGCATAGACATACCTAATAATAGTTCAGCCTTTCCACCCATCTATACACCCATTTATCCATGCTTGCTTTCACTGAAAACGTAGTACTGTATGTACAAAAGGGTTCATCTTTGTGTTCTATACCTCCCATGTACCTCTCTATGTCTTCCTCTTCCTCAATTCCACTATGTTGATCACTCACATTTCCAACCCCTACTCTTTCATTTCTTATTTTCTTGTTAATTTTCCAAAAATCAAAAAGAGAATGAAAACAAAAATAGCTGTAATTGATATGGCTTTATTAGATTCAAGTCACTAAAAGGGACCACAACCTTGTAGCAAAGTAAAGATCACAAGGGTTAAGGACTTACTTTCTTCCCTCAATACTGTCAGGTATGGAGAACTGGAGTTTGGAGTGAAGGTAACATTTCACATGTACTGTGGCCAAAACTGTTTAGTTTCTTTGAACACAGGAGATCTTTTTTTGGATACGGTTTGTTTTTTATTTTTTTATTTTTAAGGTGGTTAATAAGTCAAATTTATTCATTTATTTTTTTAACATAGGGCTAACATAACGTGCATAAGAAAGTGGAGATATTTTATGACAATAAATTTCCAAGAAGTAGGGAGGGGATGGGAGTAAGACAACAGGGCAAAGAGATTGGCCCAAAAAAGACAGGGGAAAAGAAAGACCTGGTATTTTCCCTTCAAATGCAGGAGCAAGAACTTTCATATGATTATTAGATACTACCTAATATTAGATATTTTAGATTATTATTAATATTAGAGATTATTAGAAACTACTCAAATTGAGTTACGGTGTTGGCAAAGAATACTGAATATACCATGTTGTTGTTGTTGTGTGCCATCGAGTCACCCCGACTCATAGCGATCCCTCCTTGGGTTTCCGAGGCAGTATCACTATGGAAGTAGATTGCCCAACCTTCCTTCCAAGGAGTGGCTGGTGGGTTTGAACTGCCAGCCTTCTGGTTAGCAGTCAAGTACCTTAGGCACTATGCTACCAGAGCTCCGAATATACCATAGACTGCCAAAAGAACAAACAATCTGTCTTGGAAAAAGTACACCTGTAATGCTTCTTAGAAACTGTTTTGTTTTTTAAATGAAGGTCACCACATCAAGTATGTAGCCTGTGACCAGCATTAAAAATAAGAGAGAAAAAAGAGAATAAACTGTATCAAACTGTGTAACATATAAGGGTAAGTTTTGTTTCACAAAACTTCGGTTTTAGTTAAGTGTTTGTATGTATGTACGTATGTCCTGAGTTGTTATGTAAAATATAGGTTACTGTGTGGATTAGTTAAAAAAGTGTGAAAGCCACAGCTCTGCGAGACAAGCCTAGTAATCAGAGGTGTGTACACTTGTAAAGCGGGTTAGTGCTGATCTCTTTAAGACTTGGCTGGCCAAACCAGCAAAGAAGATTTGAAATTATTTGTTTGGGTCAATAAAACATTCAAATAAAAATCTCTCTTGAGCTAGGAAGAGATAACTTCCCACATAAAATTAGAACTAGGAAGAAAAAGAAGGAAGAGAAGGAGGGAGACAAACACAGAACCCCCTACGGCAGAAATGCATACTGTTCACCAAATATGCTCCCCTAAATTTCCCAGCCTCTTTAACTGTTCTGATCAACAAACTACAAGTAGAAGTGGTATGTGTCATTTCAGGGTTAACCATTTAAGAATTGGTGTGAGGTGCTCTAAGGAGCCCTGGTGGTACATTGGTTAAAGCGCTAAGCTGCTAACCAAAAGTCAGGGATTCTAACCCACTAGTCGCTCCATGGGGAAAGGATGTGGCAGTCTGATTCTGTAAAGATTTACAACCTTGGATGTTGTGGGGCAGTACTACTGTGCTATAGGGTTGCTATGAATCAGAATTGACTCCACGGCAATGGATTTTTGGGGGTTGGGTATGGTTCTCTAGCAGTCTCTGGGTGGTACAAATGGTTAACATGCTTAGCTGCTAAATGAAAGTTTGGAGGTGAGTCCACCCAGGGGCATCTCGGAGAAAAGGCTAGTGATCTACTTCTGAGAAATCCGCACAGCTCTACTCCAACACATAGGGGGCAGCCAAGAGTGAAAACCAACTCCACTGTAAGGACTTTGGTTTTGTGCATGGTGCTCCATTTCCTCTTCCCCTGCCACGGAGTTCTGGAAGTCACATGCTGAGATAGTGCCATCCAAAGATTAAAGCAGCTTCGCTTGCAGTGTCAAAGGAGACAGCTACCCTGGAATGTCAGTTCAACCAGCCTTTGTGGTGTAAAGCCTGCAAATACTGAAATAATGTGTTATGGAACTGGAAGAGCAGGACAGAGGATTTAAAAAGCTTATGTTTCAGAAACATATATAGAAGCATTAAACTCTGCCTAGTCTTTTTACTGGATCGGATTTGGGATTTCCGCTTTTAGGAACAATTTTTGGTACTTAGGAGATTCAAAGAAGTATGAAAAATTTACGATTGGAAAATAATAGACTAAAGGAGTTGTAGTACGTGATGTATAACAGATAATATAAATTTTTGTTTTCATGAAACATTTATTATGCCAAAGGCCAAAAGTAAAATATTTAACATTTCTCCTGGAAAGGGGAGATGAAAAACCCAAACCAAACCCACTGCCATTGAATTGATTCCCACTCATAGCGACCCCTCCCCTCATAGGGTTTCCAATGCTGTAAATCTTCACAGAAGCAGATTTTTAAATCTTTGCCTCAACTTTCTTCTGAGGAGCAGCTAGTGGGTTTGCACCACCAACCTTTTGGTTAGCAGCCCAATGCCTTAACCACAGCACCACCAGAGCTCCTGGAAAGGAGAAAGGGGCAGGTAAGTACCAGAAATATTTTAAATAGTTAACAGAAAATCTTTCTAGGCATGGGTATTAGACTATGCAACTTCTTTTTCCAAATTCTTGACAAGCTCATAATCCCATTATGAGCAGACCTGTGGCAGAGTTTTATCTTGTAATCCTAATCATAATACAGACAAATACAAAACTGACATTTAATCATATTACTTAGCTTCTTCATCAAAAGCAAGAAATTTGGCATTCTGCTCTTTTCAATCCAGTACGTCGATCATCCTTGTGTGATCCTATTCCTGCAATTTTTTTGTATTATTATATGCAAGAATTCACATTAAAATATGGACTATAATATTAACATTAAAGGTAAAATCAAATCTGATGAAAATAGGATAAAAAATTCAGTTGAAGGAAATAGAAGATAAACTGCACAGTAGCTTTTCAGAAAATGTCATTTCATAGGTTTATTCTGACAACTGATCGGGAGAAATAACTTGCATTTCTGAGCACTATTCTCCTTTGCTCGTTGTCTTGGCATTAACGGAGGTGGGGGGGGGGCTTGTTAGTTGCCGGTCTAGTCAGATTCTGACTCAAGGCGCACTGTGTGAAACTACTTCATCTTCCCATTTCTAAAGCCCTTAGTTTTGCGTTTAAGGGCAGCCTGGATTTCGCGTTGGGGAGTGAGGGGTGAAGGTCCAGGATTGTACTAATCAGACGTTTGGAATAGAAACTACTCCTGAAAACCAAAGTTCCAAGCAAGCAGAAGTGTCTAGCACGAACGTGGCATCGACGGACCCAGTTCGAGTCCAGATCTCCCTCTTAGTAGCCATATGCCTCAACTTCAGTTTCTTTATCAGCAAAACGGAGACGAGAGTTCTCTGCGAAGATTAACCGAACTAACCGCTGTAAAGATACCCTAGCCTATATACCAGGTGTTCAATCTGTGTCAGTTTCTTTCTCGGTCTAAACCAACAGGGGAGAAGCAAAGCCTGAGGAGCAGGCGTGCGGGTGAGGCTACGGTTGCCCTGGCTGGAAGCTACTGGGCCTGTTACCTGATCACGTTGAAAGGAGGGTTTCGGAGGCGAATCAGTGCCAGAAAGTTCCGCACCCGCGTATACTCCGCCATGTTTTCTCGGTGGACAAAGTCGCCTCTGCTCTCAGCGCCGGGCAAAGCCACTTTCCCAGGCGCGCGGAGCCACTGGGTGAGGGGGCACGCCCGCTGGGCCAATGAGAGCCGGGCACCGCCCCCGAACGCCCGCGCCGCCCACAGCTGCTAGACTGCGTGCGGACTTCGGAACCCCATCTTCCGACCCAGGCTTTTTCTTTCTCCAGACCCCAAACACCGCACTAGGAAGAGGAGGGCTCCATAAACGCTTGGAATCTCTCTCTCTCTCTCCGATTACTGATGCCCATTCTGCTCTCATATTCCTGCCATCACAAAGCAGAGCAGAAAAACAAACCAAACCCACAATCTTGGAGTGGATTCTGACTCATAGCGACCCCCATTGCGTTTCCAAGGCGGTGAATCTTTATAGAAGCAGATTGCCCCATCTTCCCTCCGCGGAGTGGCTGGTGGGTTTGAACCACCAACTTTCTGGTTAGCAGTCAAATGCCTTAGGCACTGCGCCACCAGAGCTCCTTAAGCAGAGCAAAGACTGAAAACCGGGTGGATTCCAGACTAGTCTGAGTTTGCAACCTCCTGATGCAGACAGGCTGACTTCTCAGGAAAATTCTGTGTTCACAAGTTGCCCTCATTGGTGTTTTCATAATCCCTCCGAACAAGATAGATATCTCGCACCCTGGCAACTATGTGAATGGTACATACCTGGAACACATTAGACACATAACACATTTGAATGTGGTACTAACATCACCGGATCATTTCCATTAAAATAGTTTCACTGATTGAAGATTCCCACGGCAAGGTAGTGAAACTTACAAGTTTATTGTCTACCCAATCTGTCTGCTTTTTAAGTGTGACATTCCAAAGGACTGATTTCTAATTCTTAATTCATTCACTCATTCATAAACTGAGCATTTTACTGCATTCTAAATGTAGACTGTAGACTGTAAAAATAAAGAGACTTAATCATTTCCCTTCAAAAGTTAGGACAAGGTTTCACTAGGTGTGATTAGCCACTGGTAGTTCTCACAGTCCATCAAGTGATCAGAAGGCACTGAAAGTTTCAGAGGGGAAAAAAAAATGCATAGTTTTGTTCCCTAATGTTTCACAATTTTTAACTACGATCAAGGATTATTTTCATATTCTTTTACCTCTTTGGAAGTAAAACCTGTGATATGCAGACAACACAACTTTGCTTGCTGAAAGTGAGGATGACTTGAAGCACTTACTCATGAAGATTAAAGACTACAGTCTGCTGTATGGATTGCACCTCAATATAAAGAAAACAAAAATCCTCACAACTGGACCAATAAGCAGCATTATGATAAATGGAAAAAAGACTGAAATTGTCAAAGGCTTCATGTTACTTGGTTCTACAATCAACACCAATGGAAGCAGCAGTCAAGACATCAGACAAGGTACTGTATTGGGCAAATCTGCTGCAAAAGACTTCTATCAAGTACTGAAGAGCAAAGATGTGTCCTGGAAGACTAAGGTGCGGCTAACCCAAGACTTGGAATTTTCAATTGCCTCATATGCATGTGAGAGTTGGACAATAAACAAGGAAGACTGAAGAAGAATTGATGCTTTTGAGTTGTAGTGTTGGCAAAGAATACTGAGAGTTCCATGGACTGCTAGAAGAACTAACAAATCTGTTCTGGAATGTAGTGCAGCCGGAATGCTCCTTGGAAGTGAGAATAGCTAGACTTCATCTCACCTACTTTGGTCATGTTGTCAGAAGGGACCA